GAGTTTGTGAAGGATAGGCACTAATTTGTCTCTGAATGTTTGGTAGAATTCATTTGTAAATCCATCAGGTCCTGGGCTTTTGTTTTTGGGGAGGTTTTTAATTACCATTTCAATTTCGCTGCTTGTAATTGGTCTGTTTAGGTGTTCTATTTCTTCTTTATCTAGCTTTGGGTGATTGTAGAGTTGTAGGAATTTGTCCATCTCCTCTAGATTGTTGAACTTGTTTCCATATAACTGTTCATAGTAGTTACTGATTATTCTTTTGATTTCTGCTGTGTCTTGTGATTTCTCCTCTTTCATTTATGATCTGTGTATTTGTGCTTTCTCCCTTTTTCCTTTGTGAGCCTGGCTAGGGGTTTGTCTATTTTATTTATTTTTTCAAAGAACCAGCTCTTGGTTTCATTGATCTTTTGGATTGTTTTTTTAGTTTCAATTCATTTATTTCTGCTTTGGTTTTTATTATTTCTTTTCTTCTACTGGTTCTGGGGTTTTTTGTTGTTCTTTTTCTAGATCTTTGAGCTTCGAGATTAGGTTGTTTCTTTGAGTTCTTTCTTGTTTTTTGATGTGAGCTTCTATTGCTATATATTTTCCTCTTATTACTGCTTTTGCTGCATCCCATACATTTAGGATATTGGTGTCCTCCTTGTCATTCAATTCAAAGAATTTTTTAATTTCTTCTTTGATCTCCTCGTTAGTCCAGTGGTCTTCCAGTAGTGTGGCTTTTAATCTCCATGAGGTAGGATAGTTCCTTGCCTTCTTTTTATGATTTATTTCTAGTTTGATGCCTTCGTGGTCAGAAAAGATGGTTGGTATGATTTCAATCTTGGTGTATCTGTTGATGTTTGTCTTGTGCCCCAGTATGTGATCGATCCTGGAGAATGATCCGTGTGCGCTTGAGAAAAATGTGTACTCCGTTTTTTTTGGGTTTAGTGTTCTATAGATGTCTGTTAAGCCCAAATGCTCTAGGTCCTTATTTAGAGCTTTAGTTTCTTTACTTATTTTTTGTCTTGTTGATCTATCCATTGTTGATAGTGGTGTGTTGAAGTCTCCCACTACATATGTGTTTTCTCTGATGTCTGTTTTCAGAGAGGACAACAGTTGTCTGATATATTTTGGTGCTCTTTCGTTTGGTGAGTATATGTTAATGAGTGTTATTTCTTCTTGAAGTATTGTCCCCTTAATCATAATGTAGTGACCATTGGGGTCTCTTTTTATTTTTTTGAGTTTGAAGTCTGTTTTATCTGATATAAGTATAGCTGTTCCTGCTTTCTTTTTTGGCCCATTTGCTTGTAGGATTGTTTTCCATCCTTTGACTTTGAGCCTATTTTTATCTTTTGTAGCTAAATGTGTTTCCTGGAGACAGCAAAAGGTTGGGTTTTGTTTCTTAATCCAGGCTGCAACTCTGTGTCTTTTTATTGAAGAGTTTAGTCCATTTACATTTAGAGTTAATATTGATATGTTAGCATCTGTATTTGCCATTATGTTTGTCTTTCCTTTGATTTTATTTATTTATTCTTTTAATAACTTTTTTTTTTTGGTCTTCTTTCGTTGTTATTCGTCCCTCTGAGGTTCTGGCTTTAGGATTCCTTGTAGTATTTTTTGGAGTGGGGGTTTAGTCGCAATGAAATTCCGGAGTTTCTCTTTGTCTGGGAAGGTCCATATTCTTTCTTCATGGAGGAAAGAGAGCTTTGCGGGATAGAGTATTCTTGGTTGGCATCTGTTTTCTTGGAGTCTGTTGACTATGTCCCTCCACTCTCTCCTTGCCCGTAGTGTTTCTTCAGAGAAGTCTGATGTCAGCCTGATTGGTTTTCCTTTGAATGTTATCTGTTTCTTCCCTCTTGTCAGCTTCATTATTTTTTCCTTGTCCTGGATTCTTGGGAGCTTTACTATTATGTGTCTTGCTGTGTTTTTCCTTTCGTCGTGGAAGTTTGGTGTTCTTCTTGCTTCTTGTATATCAATTTTCAGCTCCTTCTTCTCATTTGGGAAGTTCTCTTCAATTATATCCATGAATATTTTCTCTGTTCCTACATCTCTCTCCTCTCCTTCTGGAATTCCTATAACTCTTATATTTCCTTTCCTCATGGAGTCAGATAGTTCCCGAAGTCTTTCTTCATTCTTTTTCCTTCGTACTTCTCTTTCCTTTTCTGTTTTGGTTCTTTTTATTTCTGTGTCTTCAAGATTACTTATTCGTTCTTCCATTTCATCTATTCTGCTTTCATTGCTTTTCCCAGAGTTCTTTAGTTCCTCCATTAATTCTTTGATCTCCTGCATTTCTCTTACTTCCCTCTTTAGGGACTCAATTTCCTTCTTCTGATCTATCACTTTTTTAATCATGGCAATTTTAAATTCTCTTTCTGGAAGGCTCAGAAGTTCTTCCAAGTTGCTGTCGTTGCAATCTGGGGAGTGGTTTTCTTTTTGTGGTGTGCTTCTTTCCTGAGGAGTTTTTAGGTTGCGTGTGGTTCTTCTACTCCCTACTGTCTGTTTCTAATTTGTCGTATGCGTTGGGACACTGTGTTGCTCGGACTGACTGACATCTTGGGTGAACTTCTCCGCTCTCCTCTGGCTCTTCCAGGAGCCATCTCTGTCTTCTGGGGGAGCTTTCTGCTGGTTTTAGGCAGTTTTTACTGAAGAAATGTCCCTGTTCTCAAATGGCGAAGCGGGATGCAGTCCCTGCGCCTCCGGTTTCAGGCACACTCTTCTGCGCACCCGGTCTGCCCCGGACGTGGGTGCCTGCTCCCTCTGTGGGCTCAGACTGCTGGTCGGAAGGGGCCTGGCGTGGAATAACTTCCCGGCTGGCCACTGGGTCCTCCAGAAACCTTCTGCCCTTTTCAAGCAGTCTTAAGAAATGTCCTGTTTTATAGGGTGTTAGTGACTTTTTTTTCCTGGTCGCTAGGTGGCGCCAGAGATCTCTCCTATTGTCCTTGGGGGCTGTTTTTCGCCTCCCCCCACCCCGTGGGACAGAGAACAGAGCAGGAATGGTAGGGTACACCTCAACAGCTTTGGGGTGCTGTGTCTGCCTTGTGCCCCACCGTCGTGGAGAAACCACGCCCCGAATTTTCGTGCCCCGGGTCTCAGTTCAAAGCCCTCAGTTCCAGGACGCGGGCTGTAGCCCAGTTCAGTGGCGCGGGAATGGCGCCTTTTGCACAGCTCCCGTGCCTGGGCGCCTGGTTCCTGCTCACTCAGGGAGGGACCTTCACCTCAGTGAGGACCTCCGCGCGTCTCCCCGCAAGCCTAGGTCGTCTCCCCGCAAGCCTAGGTCGCAGGCGCGGGGACCTGGGCAGCCGCGATCCAGGTCTGCACTTGCTTTTCAAGCGCGCCGAGCGCGCCGCTTTCCCGCGCCAGCTTACCGGCAGCCCGGGCTGTGTGCGCGTCTCCCGGGGTCTTTGTTCTTCTCTAATGGCGCCCGGAGCCGTTCGCTCGCCATCGCGGCGAATCCTGCAGGGTTCGCCTCAGCTCCCGTTCACGGGGTGTGGTGGCTGCAATAGTTCCTTTCCACTCACGGTCCCGCTTGCTACGTCGTTTGTTCTTGTTGGTTGTTTTGGTTTGTTGTTTCCTCCTCTCTGCAGGTCGGAGAATGCCGCCTCTGTGGGCGGGGGAGGGGAGCAGGGTTCTGCGCTTCCCTCCCTTCTAGTCCTCTTTTATGGCCAGTTTCTTCTTCGGGCAGTTCGCTGGCGTCACCCGTTTATCTTCCGTGTCCCAGTTCTCACTGGGACCTGCCGCTTTTCCTCCCTATTCACTTTTTTTAATGGGAGATCTTACTCGCAGCGTCTCCTCGCCGCCATGTTGCTCCGCCCCCCTGTACCCCAATCTTATGCAATAATTACCCATGGCACCCCCTGGAGGTGATGACAGAGCATGTCTGTCTCCCATGGAGACTTGGTAGCTCTTCTGTGTCCCCACTACTCCACAGGGTGGAGTAGCAGTGGTTGGTGGAGTAGTAGTGGTTGGGGAGCCAATGGGAAGAAAGTTGGGTGCTAAACACCCCACCATTCCAATGTAAAAGTATTAAGTATTTTAAGACAGTGGCTGAAGTTCCTTAAACTTCAAGACCTTGATCCCTTACAGCGTATGGCCCTATGTGACTGTCTTGCTTGTAAACTTGTGAAGCTACCTCTCTTTATAACTGATCTGACTTTATTTGTAATCCTTTTAAATTATATCCTTACCCACTGATAGATTATAAGCTGCATGGTGGTAGGGGCCACATCTTACTAAAAAATTAATGTTATTGGATGAATGAGTATGTGAGGGAATGAATAAAGTCTTTCAATTATTTGATGTGTGTGGAAGACTCATCTATCACCCTAAACCTAAGTCTCCCCTCCTCGTTTATGCCAATTATTTTGACCTCTGTTTTCCGTTTCTGCATTTCAATGCTTTTGTTCTGATACACTCATTTTTCTTCAGAGCAATTGGAAAGCACTTACAATGGGGTTCTTAGTTTCCAGAGTCATACAGTTAAAAGTTAACCATAATTAAATAGTTAAACCAAAGTTAAATATCATTTAACTTCTCTGTTTAGAATTTTTTTTTCTGGCCACTTTTGTCCAGCGGCTCACATTCTGACATATTCTTGGGATGTTTAAAACCTTCCTTAATAATAGTCCCAATGTAATATATGGGATTAATCTCTGACAATGTTTGCGTTAAACAGAAGCATAATTGTCTGTCCAATTTTGAATTAAATAATTGATGATGGGGACTCCCTGGTGGTGCAGAGGTTAAAGTGTCAGCACTATGAAGCTATCACAAGCCACTGTGGCATGAGTTCGATCCCCAGCCAGGGAGCTAACCCATATGGCACAGCAGGTCTCTCTTGTCTCACCCGCTGCTCCCCTCAGCAGTGTATTTCAGTAGATCAGCCCATTCTGCTCCCCACTCTGTCTCTGGCGAATCATCTCACCCCCCACACCTCTGGCTTATACCCCATTTATTGTATGCATAAATAAATAAAATAAATATTTAATTGATCAGTCACTTCTGATATGAAATCTCTTTAGATTCAGCCATCAGTTTGGAAGGCGTGGTGTCTCACTCTCATCAGCACAATATGAACCTGTGTTATAACATAACATTGACTGAGTAAGTAATTAAGTGTACCCTGTTCACTCTAGAAAGTGAATTTCTAGTATTAAATGTCAACTTTTGGGGATGTTGCTTAACAGTGTTACATTTAACTACCACTTTAGTTTACTAGTTTAACATGTTAAATATTAAGGGATTTTTAAGTACCAAGATTTATATTTGGTTCCAGGGAAACAGACATGATTGTCATGAATACTTCCATTTGCCCCTCTCTTCCCCACCAGACAAGTCCACAACCTAATAGAACAGACAAGTAAGGGGACACAAAACCAAATGCAAGGTTACAGGCTCTGTAGATATCTTTGGCAGTTCATGTCCTTCCAGAATTAGGAAAATCATGATGAAAAGAGGTCTGTTACTGAAAATCTCTGAGCACTTTGGAAATAATTAGTTTCTAGAAAATAGAAAAGGCTTTGGAGTAATTTGAAATCATTTCCATTGGAGATAAATTTCATTTATTTTGTGTACTCTTAGAAGACAGAAATAGAAAAATCATAAATGGATTTTGAAGAGGTGGGCTCAATATGACTCATATGGGTCAATATGAAGGCCTTTCTAAAAGTGAGGTTATTGAAAAATAGAATGGATTTCTTCAGGAGGTGAAGTTTTTCCCATTGCTGGAGTTATTTAAGTTGATGACTAGCATTCCTTGCTGATTTTGCAAAGTATAAATAAACAAGGATATTTATGATTAAATGATCTGGTATAGTAGAGAGTGGTGTAGAACATTGGAAAATCAGAATCTCAGTCCCAGCATTTCATTTTCCATATAACATAGTTACAGAACTCTATGGCTTCATTCCCTCATCTGAAAAATGAATGCAATAGAATATGCTTCAGAGGGTTGCTGTAAGAATTAAATGAGATAAGGTAATTGAGGGTAATTTGTAAACTATAAGTACTATATAATACAAGTTATTGTTATTTATTTGGTAATGGGAAAGATGGTAATAGTCATATACATTATTTCAGTCATATGCATTATAGGACTATCTATATTCCTAGAAGATAGATAGAATCATTATCTCCTCTTCTTTCCTATAACGAAAGGAAAGAATCCAATTATAGGAACCTGCCCATAGTGACGTTGCTGGTCATTGAGTGGCAGGACGGGGAGTCATAGCTTTTCCCATAGAGCTCAGTATTATTTCCCCTGCAGCACACTACCTTTATGATAAAGTAGAGTCTGTGACATTTTACAGTTCCCAAAGTCACCCAGGTAATAACAAACACCCTTTCGACATCACTCTCTAAGTGATATGTGATTTTACATTCAGTACTAGAGTAAAAATAACACTTGTTGACTAGATCTGCCTTTTCTTGAGTAAACAATTTATTTAATAAACATCAATAAGTCTTTTTTTCAAATAGGAGATTTAAGAAGACACCACAAGGTGGGCCTCCCCGGTGGCGCAGCGGTTGAGCGCTGGGTTGCGAAGCTGCGCGCGGCCTCTGCGGCGCCGGTTCGATCCCCGGCTGCTCCCCGGCCACCAGAGGAGGGTCCCACATGGCGCGCAGACCTCTCCTGCTGCCCGCTGCTCCCCTCAGCAGTGTACTTCGGTCCTTCTGCCTGCTCTGCTCCCCACTCTGGCTCTGGTGAATTCTCTCGCCCTCCCGCGCTTCTGACTGTACCCAGTGCATGTATAAACAAAAACAAACAAACAAACCAGCAAACAAATAAATAAAGCATGCCTCTATAAAAAAAAAAAAAAAAAAAAAAAGAAGATACCACAAGGGAATAAAATGAGCTGACCACTTACTGTGGAATAGCACACCGATATACGAAATTATAAAAGATATACAGAATGAATACTATTGTATTTGGTGACAAGTCCCATCTGACATTAATCCATTAATTGCCTTGTTCTGCATGTTCACTTTTTTAAATGTTCTAACCCTTGGGGGCCTCCCTGGTGGCACAAGGGGATAACACACAACCTATGAAGCTGTCTACAGCTTTTGCAGCAAGAGTTTGATCCCTGGTGGCCAGAGAGCAACCCACACGGTGAAGCAGACCTCTCCTGTCTTGCCTGCTGCTCCCCTCAGCAGTATATTTCAGTAGAGCCTCCTGTTCTGCTCCACACTCTGTCTCTGGTGAATCCTCTCACTCCCCACACCTCTGGCCTGTACCCCAGTTCTTGTGTACATAAATGAATAAAACTTTAAAAAAATAAATAAACGTTCCAACCATTGACCCCCATGGTGGACATGGGGGGACATTTCTTTGGAACAAGAAGAACATATACTCAGAAATGATTCAATTTTAATTATATAAATGCAAATACTTTCTGCCTAAACCATTCACAACTTTAGAAACTATTTTGATGTCTATTCCTAATTGCTGGTATGTAAATATCTGAAGGAAAGAAACAGGAGATGTGACTCCCTTTATTCTCTATAAAACCTCAATGTCTATAAACGTTTTCTGGGGCTTCAATGGCAGATGTTTTCCTTGCATTTAAGGGTAAAATTTAGTATCTTCTACATTCAATGCTACTTTGTATACTCTCTGTTATTATTTAAATGTCAGTTTTTACCATCAAAGCTTCCTTCACTCCCATCCAATTTCAGAGTTTGGGGTTAAAATCTCTTGATACAAGAAAATGTTTTCTCAAGAGGAGCTTTTGTTTAACTATTTGAAGATCACCACACATAAATTACTCTTTTATGTATTTAATCTCATAAATATACACTAGAAAAATTTAAAAAGTAGCTGTATACAACCATCCTTTGAAAAAGATCTGCCTTTAATTTTCTTTCTCTTTGGAAAGATCACAATTCCCTAGCTTAGTAACTTGTGAATATTTTTGTATTATTTTCATCAGTCAAAATGTACAGTTTTAAAGGAATTACATATTTTTAAATCTCATGGTGTTTTATTTTTTTAATTTTTAAAAGATTTATTCATGCACACAAGAACTGGGATACAGGTCAGAGGTGTGGCAGGTGAGAGGTCTCAGCAGAGACAGAGTGGGGAGCAGAACAGACATTATTCACTGAAATACACTGCTGAGGGGAGCAGTAGCTGAGACAGGAGTGGTCTGCTGTGCCATGTGGGTATCTCCCTGACTGGGAATCAAACTCGTGCTGCAGTGGCTGCCGATAGCTTCATAGTGCTGGGCTTAACCCCTTGCGCCACCAGGGAGGCCCCTCATGGTATTTTATCTTATTTTATTTTTTTAAATATTTATTTATTTCTTTATACAAGCACTGGGTACAGTCAGAAGCATGGGAGGGTGAGAAAATTCACCAGAGCCAGAGCAGGGAACAGAACAGGCAGACCAACGAAATACACTGCTGAGGGGAGCAGCAGGCGCAGCAGGAGAGGTCTGTCGCACTATGTGGGACCCTCGCCGGTGGCCAGGGATCGAACTGGCGCTGCAGAGGCTGCGGGCAGCTTCGCAGCCCTGTGCTCAACCACTGCGCCACCAGGGGAGGCCCCCCTCATGGTAATTTAATGCCAACTTTCTGTGCTGATGTCCAGTGGCACAAGAGTAGGTCATTGATGATGTTTAGCCCCATTTACAATTCCAAATCTCCCACTGGGAAAATGCTTCCTCCTGCCTCCCTCCTAAAACTCACAGAAGGGTCCTTCATTCCTCATTTGTCTGCTATAAATACATGCATACATACATACATACATACATACATACATACATACATACATAAATATTATATTTATGATGAAATTTATAAATCCAATTAGTGAAAAAATGGTCTATGCATATATTTTCTAGCAATGAATCTAGTCATTGACTTTGACTTCAGAGTGGAAAAGAAGAAAAAAACAAAATTCATTTCAATTACCTACTAGGACAGGAATGAAAATGGCACCAGTGACAGGTCCATTTCTCTTTCCATTTCTGAAAGCATCTGGACACACAGAAAAGGCCCATTTCTCCTCCAGGGGGCAGTGCTGTCCATGTGCAAGGTTGTTTTTCACTTTTATGCTCAGGGGTCATTCCAAGCACTAGCCATTTATATTCCATTACAATTGATTGAATATTATACATCAAAAAGTAGAGAGAAAATGTTTAAGATTTTATGAATGCAAGCGAAATGATTAGAGCTCACAAAAGCTTTGAATTCTGAAGCTTGGCTTCTATCTTGCCCTTACATAAGCACCTTTGATCTTCTCTTCACCCAGACTTTTATGTGGTCTTATAATTGTTTTATTATTTTAGAAGAATTAGTCATGTAGACTTTTTTTTCCTGCAGAGGTTATTTTTTAAAGAAAGTTTTCTTTTCATTATAAGTCAGGGTATTTCTCAAACCAGATTGAATCAGTATTTATTTTTCTCAGTGTTAGAAAGAGTAGAAGGTGGAAGAGTCAATTTCTGAACTTCGGTCTTCATAAAATAAATTTGTGACCTTGGGCAAATCATTTACCTGGATTAATTTATTTTTATTTTCTCTATAATAGGTTATCTGTCACCTTTTTTCAGGATTAGTAGAGTTAGTCAATTTGGGAGGGACTTGAAAATTTATTTTAAAAATATGAGGCCTTAATAATATAAAAATCTGAGTTTTAAAATTAGGTTTATAAATAAGCAGTCTTTAATAAGTAAGAAGACGCTGCATAAAGGACAGTCAACCTCCATTCAATTTGTCGTGTTTTCCCATTAATAATTACCCTTCACTATGCCTTCATGTGTAGTGGCAGGTTGCCAAGGCTGTGCAAACTTTTCCTGTGGGGAACCCCTTAAGTGTAATCTCTCAGAATAGAGACAGGATTAGGAAACACCTGGAAGTCTTGGTTTCTGCACTCGGGCCAACCATTGGAAAATCTCCAAATGATATAATTTTAGTTATTATGATTCTATCACTGTTGATTTACTATTTGCAGTATTTGATATACTTTCTCTTTAATACACTGTTCTAACCACTGGAGATCCAGCAGCAAACAAGAAATCAGGTATTTTTGCTTTGAGAGGGAAAAGGAGAAATTTTGATGAAGCTAGTAACAACATATCAGAAAGTCAGAATAGGTTCTATTTGTAATGCAGAGAAATTTCCCTTCACTTTTTTTTTTTTTTCCCCTCCAGCTGCAAACCTGAGGTAGGGTTTTCTTTCCATTCCTGCTTTTCATTTTTCCTGACTTGAGCAGTACAATTAGTTCCCAGTCAGGGCGCTCCCTGTTACTTAATGCTGATCTCTTGCCTTGCTTTTTCATGGGACTTTTCTGTTCCCTTCATCAGTGCGTTTAAAGCACTTTTTCCCCTAAAATATCTGCATACAAATAAGTCCTTTAAGAAATTTGAGGAGGGCCTCCTTGGTGGTGCAAGCAGTTGAGCGCCGCACTGTGAAGCTGTCCGCAGCCTCTGCAGCACTGGTTCGATCCCGGCGGGCAAGAATCCCACATGGCGCAACAGACCTCTCCTGTCTCGCCTGCTGCTCCCCTCACTAGTGTATTTCGTCAGTCTGCCTGTTCTGTTCCCAGCTCTGGCTCTGGTGAATCCTCTCACCCTACTGCATGTCTGGCTTGTTCCCTGGTTCTTGTATAAATAAATAAATCTTTAAAACACACACATGCACACACACACACACCCCCACATACACAAAGCGATTTGAGGAGTGCTAAAGTAAAGAAATTCTCTTTAACTTATTTTTTTTTTTTTTTTTTTTTAGAGGCATGATTTATTTATTTATTAATTTATTTGTTTGTTTATACAAGCACTGGGTACAGTCAGAAGCGCGGGAGGGTGAGAGAATTCACCAGAGCCAGAGCTGGGAGCAGAGCAGGCAGAAGGACAGAAGTACACTGCTGAGGGGAGCAGCGGGCGGCAGGAGAGGTCTGCGCGCTATTGGGACCCTCCTCTGGTGGCCGGGGAGCAGCCGGGGATCGAACCGGTGCCGCAGAGGCCACGGGCAGCTTCGCAACCCAGCGCTCAACCGGGGAGGCCCTAATTCTCTTTAACTTAATTTAGCAAAGGTTTTCTAAACTTATTTGTATCACAATCTGGTTGCACGCCACACTTACCTTAATAATATCCCTTGGCACTTAATGTCTTAATATCACATTCTAGGAACTGTTGGATTGAGCAATTTTCAAAATACCTACCAGGCTATGTCCTATAATTCTCTCTCAAAGAGAAATTTTTCAAATTCATTTCCAAATTTAAAAAACAAATCATATAACAAAAATATACCTATTCAATTATTTGCTAATTGCTGAAAGATAAGGACTGCAATGCAGCATTTTTTTCTTTTAAGATTAGCACATTTATTCAAAATATTATTGATTGAGAACAGAATTAAACAGATTAATAATAATCACTCTCACATTATGATATGCTAATAGTTTTTTAAAAAATGTAAATTGTATGAGGAAGGTGCTAAAATGATAATTGCTATAGAATTGTATAACTAAAAGAATCTAACACTATTTCGAAAACTTTGAAGATACCATGAGATAAAATACCACATTTAAAATATAAACTAGAGCTTTCATGGGAAATGAGTTGACACCATGAAATTGTGGGATTATTCCATTTTCTTCTTATTTTAAACCTTGTTGAGGAATAATTGACAAATTGTATATATTTAAAGTGAAAATTTTGTTATTTGATATACATTGTGGATTGATTATCAAGATCAAGATAATTAACACATCCATCACTGTACACAGTTAACTCTGTGTGCATGTGCGTGGGTGGTGAAAACAATTATGACCCATTTACTCTGAGTAACATTAAAGTATACAATACTGTATTATTAACTATAGTTACCATGTTTTACATTAGAGCCTTATAGCTTATACTCTTCTTAGAACTATAAATGTTACCCTTTGACCAAATCACCCCATTTGTGCTGTCTCTAGACTCTGACAAACATGATTCCATTCTGTGTTTTTATGAAATTGGCTTTTTTTATTTTGGATTCATATATAAGTGATATATACAGTATTTGTTTTTCTCTGTCTGGTTATTTTGCTTAGCATAATACCCTCAAGGTCCATCCACGTTCTCACAGTGGCAGGATTTTCTTCATTCTTATGACTGAATAATATTCCCCTGTGGGTCTGAGTGTATATATAATACACTTTTTTTCCATTATAGAATATTTACCATTTTTTTTATTTGCTGGATTAAAAACTATAATTTTTGTGATTGGCATGTCAGTTTAGTGAGTTTTCTTAAAAGTATTGTGAATATATTTTATTCTTGTTTTGAATAAAAATAAATTTGATTCAAGGGTATTTGTTTATTTGTATGTAATTGTGCTATACAACTGCTTAAAAAGACAGGAGCCTTGATAAAATCTAACCTCTCACTCTAGATGAGAATGACCTCTCTAAGGATTAGAATATCCTCTCTCACCCCTTCCTGTTCCTTAACTCTGCAGTTCCTTGCAGGGTTGCCTTCCTTGGATCCTTCATCTTTTCATTCTAGATACTCTCTCTGGGCAATTCAAATTCTCGTGGCTTCAAAATGTTATCTGTATTCCTTTGACTTTTAAAAAGTGTATCTCTAAGCAGGATGTTTCCCTTGAGCTCAAAGTGTAAGTATTAACGTGGACATGACACTTCTCTGTGCCACAAGCAACTCAATCTCAAAATATCGAAATGGAGCCTTTCATCTTTATCTTAACCCACCCTGATACCAAGTGCATAATATAGATAGACTTTCTTGTGTGTTCATTGTGTATAGACCTCTTTCCAGTATCTACAGTATTTTACTCTTCTTATTAGTTCAATGACAGCCTTCCCTTATTGTATTCTAATCTTATCAAGAGCAACATTTTCTTAAAAAATCTTTTTATTCTCTTATATAGTCATGTATATATTTTATCTTTGAAGCACAACATAGAGCCTGAGACAGAAACTTCTTGATGCATATTTGCCTTGAGTGGGTGAGTTAAAGAAAAGAGAAAGAAAAAGGTGATGTGTTGTAGTGAAGGTGTGGCCTGGCAGTCTGGAGAAATCTGTTATTCCAAGAAGATGGACCTTCAGACAAGGGAGAAGTCTCTGGAAAAAAGCAGGATCCAAGTTATACTATAAGAGTAAGTGTTCAATAGCCCATTACTAAGTGTAAGAGTTGGGTTGTGGGCCTCCCTGGTGGTGCAGTGAGTTGAGCGCAGTGCTATGAAGCTGTCCGCAGCCTCTGCAGCACCGGCTCGATTCCCGGCCAGCCAGGGAGATACCCACATGGTGAGGCAGACCTCTTCTGTCTCGCCTGCTGCTCCCCTCACCAGTGTATTTCAGTCATTCTGCCTGTTCTGCTCCCTGCTCTGTCTCTGGTGACTTCTCTCACCCTCCCGCGCCTCTGGCCTATACCCCAGTGCTTATATAAATAGATAAATCTTAAAAGAAAAAGATTCAGGTTGTAGTGAAAGGAGACAGAGACTTTGCCTCCACTGGCCTCTGTCTCCTCTGTCTAGAGTGTACTAGTAATGTCTGCTGCCTTTCGCACCAGACGGGAATTCACAGAGGACAGAAGCCCTAGCAATGTAATTTTTTTGTCTGTGGTCCTTGGCTTAATACTTAGAATATAGAAAACACCCAGTAAAAGCAGTTAGAGAAATAAATGGTATATTTAGTAAAGTCTTTTGTATGTCACTTTTCTGATATATAACATAGAAATAACAATAACTAGTACTTACTTGCATGACTGAATGGGAAAATGTAAGTGAAACAGTAATTACAATGGAAAACTATATAACAATATGTCACTATTCTCATATGTTTGCCACTCTAAGAACAGGGTTGTTCCAAAGTCTGGGAGAAAGTAGTGGCAGCAACAAGTTTTGAGGGTCTATTAAACACATTTGTTTTCACATGTTTATTTTGGAACTTTTCTCAACATTGTGAAGGAGTAAAATCTTTGTCCAGGTAAGAAAATGTAGATTTCATGACATTAAGTGGCCAATCCCAATTCAAATAATTAAAAGCAGCATTGATAGGATTGAACACTATTGCTATCTTTTGGGATCTTTTCACTGTCAGGAGCAGGAATAAAATATCCTTGGTGGTACTGGGTTGGTCAGTTCAGGCATGGGCAGTCAGATAGGAAACTAATGTTTGACCTCTTATAAGATAAAATGATCACGCTAATTGTGCAGAGACTGTTTCAGCCACAACCAAGATTTATGAAAGAAACTAATGTTAATTACTACTTAATAATGCCCTCATCATAAATCACAACTTATCTTTAAATGTTCCTATTCTTCTGAGAATCTCTTTGGGTATTAAAAAAAATACATTTTTTAAATATTAATCACTGGAAGGAAGTGGTGGTAGTGTTAAGCAGGAGTGTCAATATGTAAAGTCTCTTCCCTTGGGACCTGTGCATAATGACTAGCATATTTCCCCAACTTAAGGAGCATTATCATTCCATTTTCCTGTATGTGAGTGATTCCAATTTTGTGGATGATGATAAATTGACCTTTAATCACTCTCAATTCTTACTCCTGTCTTCTCCAGCTCATACTTGCTATCAGGTCTTTTAAGTTTTCTTCTTAACTTCATTCTTCTAAATTAACAGACTTGGCAAAGCAGCTCATAAAGCCTCCGGGAACAGAAAACCAACATGTTTAAATGTTTATTGCAGCTGGGAAATTACAGTTACATTCACTTTCAAAGATGACAGGGATGCCATATTCAAAATGTCTGAAGGGGATTTTAATGCTTTGCCTGTCTTTACTTAGGTCCAAAGGACTTAAACTTATTGAATGTCCCAGGTTAAATTGCATGATGAACTAGTCCTGTTAGCATATGGAATGGAGTCATATTAGATGGTTTACAGTCTATATACTCCTACTGTCACACATGAGGTTTTCTTGAATGATTTTATGACTAATAATTTGGCTGTACATTATATAGATCCAGAAACAATCTAATTTTTGCAGATTCTTAGAAGAGAATTAGGATTCATCTGGTAAAAGCTATCTCATACATATTTGGAATAATAAAATATGAGGACTTTATTTTGGTAATTAAAACCTTAAACAATGCATACATCATCTTCTTATAGGAGAAAATTAGTAATGAAAGTATTCAATTAGCTAAAGATGCTTATTGTACATGTTCTTTATTATTTTAATATAGTTTGAAAAGAAAAAAGTGCTTTGGGGCAGGCATAAATGTAAAGTTACATAGACTATGCAAACAATAAGAAATTAGCAACTTTTACAAAAATATTGTTGGACACATAACATGATATCTATGTGGATATATATGAAACACACATATATGTGTATATATATATTTATATACACACACTGTATATATGAAAATGGAAGCAAATAAGCAAATACTCTGGCTCAGGTCTTAAACATGAAACATATACACACAAAAGGTTTGATAAACTCTATAAAAAAGAATAAGATAATAGAATCGAAACTAAAAGGGGGTGGGATAATTGAGTAATTTAGATTGGAATGTGATTGTCATGAGAAGCACCTCTAGAAAACTTCCAATGAAGGTGGTACCTGGAGAGTGAGAATCCTGGATGCGAAGAGTTGAGAGAAGAACCTTCAAGGAGGTAGCAAACAGCAAGTGTGAAAGACTAGCAAGGGAATCTGCTAAGGCCCAGTGAGTGTGGATGGGTCACAAAATAATAACGAAGAGGTTGACAGGGTTAAATATTGTAGGAGATGAGTTGAGGAGATTGAATTTTATTACAAATGTAATAGGAAGCCTCTGAATTATTAAAAATCAGACAGTGACTACCTCAATGTTTACCATTTAAAAACTCCTCTGAGTGTGTGTGTGTGTGTGTCTGGTTTTCTATTGTATGACCACAGTTTAATTTTTTTTTTTGTGGGACCCTCGCCGGTGGCGGGGGATCAAACTGGTGCTGCAGAGGCTGCCGGCAGCCTCGCAAGCCAGCGCTCAAACGCTGCGCCACCAGGGGAGGCCCGACCACAGTTTATTTACCACCCTACACTTGATGGAACAAAATCGAGTGGGTGAGAATGGAAGAAAGAACCTAGGAAAGTATTCACATATTCCAGATCAGAGAAGACAGTATATAGACAATATTGGTAACAGTGAAAATACAAGAAAAAAGTGAATTGATAATGTCCATGGAAGGTAAAAGTGACTTTCTTCTGAAGCTTTTCAGATCTAATTGAAAGAAAATAAATCAGCAATGACTCTTATTTTCTTGATATACTCAACTAGTACCCCCAAGATAAAAAAAAAAAAAAATGAAGTAAGATAAAGGTGATTGTGATTGTTTGATTTTGATTTTGCTCAAATTATATCCAATTAGAACTATCAAGTAATCTGTGAGATATAAAGTTGGGTAATCAAAATATGGAATCTTATCTAGAGGTAGAAGTTTGGGAATTGCAAGTGAGGGAATGGTACTTAAAACCATGGAATTGATGAGATCACTTAGAACAAGAAGTGATGAGAGAAGGGTCGAGAAGTGTGAAGGAGTATCTGGACAGTCCCTGCAATGACAGGTCAGCTGGAGGCCATGATGCTGGGCAAAAAGAATGAGATGTTCTACTTTAAGGGGTGTGAGGGGACCTAGTGTGAAGTCTTGGCAGTTGTGTGATGTTTTATGAAAAGAGAACTGAATGTTCTTGAATGGCTTAAAAATACCTGTGAAGTCTAGGAAGATATAAATTGAAAAAAAAAATAAAAACTCTTTAGATTTGCTATGAGCAGGTGGAGATGGGCAGGAGCAGTTTTGTTGGAGTCGTCAGGGAAGATGCCAGATTGAATTGTTTCCTGTTGACAGGTAAGAGAAAATTGGACACACTGAATGTGGACAGCATTTGTATTTATAGAAACCAGTTTTCCTTGTTTGGGAGAAAGTGTTTAATAGTAACGTAATTAAAATCATGCTGGAGAAAGCAAAATTTATTAAACCATAGATTCCTATGATGTGCTTTAAATTCTTTTTCCATCAGGGACCCTCTTCACTCCTGTTGTCTCACATTCTCCCTCTAACAAAAAAAAAAGTTATATATCAGTATTGCCATATGTTCCTAAGTAACAGGCAGATAGAAAGATGTTTATAAAAACAAAATAAAACCCTGGAGAGACAATGTAAGCCAAAAGAAAAGGTGCAGATGGATAAGCTTACTCAGAAGAATTAGCCCTTAGCCTTTGCACAATCAATAAATGTTGACTGGCTATTGACAAGAAGGGGGACAGAAGAGCAAGAGCAGTGCATGGGGGGAGCAGCATTTCTTCCTAACAGCTGCTGTTGCCACCACCAAGCAGCTGTTCAGGTACACGCTCAGAACTTCCTGCTTCTCTTCCAACTCTCCTAGGGGGCCCAAACCCACACCCTGATGCTGCAGTCTAGGAGAGATGTCATGTGTGATTTATATTGCGTCGAGTCAGAAATTGTTAAATCATTGAGTAGGCCAGGAGAAAACTTTGCCTGTACAATGAGCAAATGAAGTTTGCTCTCTTCTCTTCCACACGCTGGACTTTGGTGATCTTCCAAGCTGCGTGGTGATGTGTAGTCCAACAGAGGCATAGCCTTTCTAGCTACAAAGAGAAGCTATATTTTAGAGATTTTTTAAGGGGGAAATTCTCTCATTTCCTCTGTGGGATTAAGTTTGGGATGATTGAGATTTTCAGGTTTGATTGTTGTAGCCTACACTCATCTGTTCATGTCGATGAAAAATACTATTCTTGATTTCCTTGCTCATGGGCAGTCTGGGAGTATCTTGCTCGTGTTTTTCTATGTCCCATGTGAAGATGCTCACACGAGATTTATAAATTAAACAAATTCCCTTTATTCAAAAAATATTAATTTATTAATTTCTCAGGGGTATCTTGGATATGGGTAAGTATATTCCATCACTATGAAATCACATATGATTTCATGTATTCTCAACATCAAATATACAGTCAATTGCATTAACAACTAATATTTGAGTGGTAAATATGGAAGTAGTGGGTTACTTCTTTCTGGCAATGGAGAAGAATGAACAGTTACGTAACATCACAGTAGAATATAGCTCCACAGGGCCTTCCTGGTACCCTAAGGGTTAGGTCTCAGCACTATCACCACAATGGCCTGAGTTTGATCCCC